GCTCCTGGAAAAGCCCCCGGATCCCCGGGACAGCTCCTGGGACCCTGGGATAGCCCCCGGAACGGCCCCGGATCCCTGGAATAGCTCCTGGATCCCTGGAATAGCTCCTGGAAAAGCCCCCGGATCCCTGGAACAGCCCCGGAGCTTTCCCCAGGAGCAGCCCCGGATCCCGGCCCGGCTCTTTCCGGGCGTTCTTTCCTGCGAACAGGAGAATCCCTGGATTTCCGAATCCCTGAATTTCCTGAACTCTCGGATTCCTGAACCCCCGGATTTCCAAACCCACGGATTTCCAAACCCCCGGATTTCCGATCTCCCGGATTTCCGACCCCCCGGATTTCCAAACCCACGGATTTCCAAACTCCCGGATTCCCGACCCCCCGGATTTGGATTTCCGACCCCCCGGATTCCCGATCTCCCGGATTTCCGACCCCCCGCATTTCCAAGCCCCGCTCCCAGGAGTGTCCCGGCCCGGGCGGACTCCGACCCCATCCCCGACCTGCGGCCGCTCCCAGCGCGGCTCCTGCGCCGCTTCCCGGGAATTCCGGCCCGGGAGGAGCAGTCCGGAGGAGCTGCTGCTGCTTTTCCTGCATTTTGGCTTTTCCCGTGGATTTTTTTGGCACCGGGAGGGGTCGGGGTGTGGCCGAGGCCGAGACTTTTTCCTTCCTTCCTTCCTAATCCTCCGGCTTCCCCTGGGCTTGTCCCGAAATCGGGATTTTCCCGGGAAAAGGGAGGATCCCCGGCTGTCCCCTGGCATGGAATTGTCACCGCTGCGCTGCCCCCGGCCCGGACTCTCCGCTGGATTCCCGAGGTGGGACGGCACGAGGGGAATTCTTTCCCGCTTTTAACCAATTTTAACCAATTTTAACCAATTCCGGCTTTTCCCGTGCCCAGAACGGGGTGGGATCTCACGGACGGGTCCCAAAATCCCCATTCCCTAAAAAAAAAAACCACCCCACGACCTTCATCCCAAAGGGCTCCTCTTCCTCCCTCCGGCTCCTGCAGCTCCGGGACCGCCGGGAAATTGGGCATTTCCATCCTTTTTTTTTTTTGGGAAAATCCATCCTCCGGAGCGATCCCGGGGCAAATCCGGAGGCGGGGATTGAAATCGGGCACCAAAAAAAGGCTGGAATGGGTCGGGAGGGAGGAATGGGAGGAACCCGAGGAGGTTTTGGAGGCTGCTCCTCCCTCGGGCCATTCCCATGGGAAAAGGAGATTTAATTCCATCCCCGAATCCCCACTTGGGGAAAATGTGGTTGGGATTGCTCGTGGGGACACCGGGGCTGCTCAGACTGCGCCAAAATTCCTGAAAATTGGCTAAAAAACATCCCAGATTTCTGTGGGGCAGGGCCCAAAATGCTGGAAATGGGCAGGAAGTTGGAATTTTTACGGAAAAAACTGAGGGAAAAGTAAAAATGGTGAGGTCCTGAAGCTCAAGGGGCTGAAAATGGGCAGAAAATTTCAGACTGAGGTAGGAATTTCCAAAGCCAGGTGGAAAAGGAAGGAAATTTCCAGGTTGTGAGGGGTAAATTTGTGGCAAGAGGCAAAAAAATCCCGATTTTTTCCTGAGCTGAAGCCTGAATTTCCAAGAACAGGTGGAAAATGAAAAACCTGGATGTGCTGAAGCCCAAAGCGCTGAAAAAGGAACAAAATTTTCCTGTAATTTGCAAAAAAAGAGCCCAAGTTCCTCCCAGTCCACACCCTAAATCACAAAAAAAGGAAGGAAAAGGAACAGGATTTCCTCTGTTGGAGCTGGAATTGATGGAAACAGGGAAAAATTCCTCAAATTTTTCTCCGTGAGAATGGAATCTGCTGATTCAGGCGATTCCAAGGGTCGGAGTCCTGGGAGCGTCTCCTGGAGCTCCTCCTCCTCGGATCCTGGGGAAAACATCCCTTTTTTCCTTGTTTTTTCCCTGTTTTCTTCATTCCTGACTCCTCCTTCGGGGGTGTCCTGGGTTCTCCTGGGATTTCAGGGATGGAAACTCCTGGAAATGAATTATTCCTTGGAGTTTTCCTCGTGGCTTTCCTCCTTTTCCAGCCCATTTTCTACCTGTTTGGGATCTCCCTGCAGGGACGGGGAGCGCCGCGAGGAGGGGATTTGGGGATTTTGGGGATGGAATCGCCCCCATTCCCGGCATTTCCCTCTCCCAGCACAAAGGGAATTCAGCTCCTGGAACATTCCCGGCTTTTCCCGGGGCTTTGTCCCGGCCCAGCCGAGCGGGAGCAGCCGCGGGGGGGGAGGGACTGAGGTCAGGGAGGGCACTTTGGGGTGGGAAAAGGGATTTCCAGGAGGAGAAGGATCCCGGGGCACCGACAGCTCCGGGATGTTCATCCCCATCATCATCATCATCCTCAGCCTCACCTGGGAATTCACATTTCAGAGCCTTTTCCCCCTCCAAATCCCCCTTATTCCCTCCGAATCCCCTTCTTTCCCCCACAAATTTCCCCTCCCATAAATCCATTTTTTTCCCTACAGCCCCGCTTTTTTCCTTCCAGTTTCACTTTCCCCCCGCTTTTCCCCCTACAATCCCCCCACTCCCGACGGCCCCGGTGGCGATCCCGATCCCAAAGGAGGATTCCCTGTCGCTGTCGCTGTCGCCAGCCCGGCGCCGCCGCCCCCTCCCGTCCCTCGGTGCCGCGGTAATCCCGGGATTAGCGGCGCTGCATTCTGCACCGTCAGGATTCTCCTGCCGGGACGGGGCCGGGGCCGGGGCCGGGGCCTGCCCCGATCCCCGGGATCGCCCCGGGATCGCCCCGGGATCCTCTCCCCTCCCTCCCCCGGCGGCCTCGGGAGCGGCGCCGGCGCCGGTCGGTAACGGGGATTCGGGGGAAAACGGGGGAGAATTCCATGGAAAAGGGGCAGAATGGGGAGAATTCCATGAAAACGGGGGAGAATTCCATGGAAAAGGGGGAGAATGGGGAGCATTCCATGAAAACGGGGGAGAATTCCATGGAAAAGGGGGAGAATGGGGAGAATTCCATGAAAACGGGGGAGAATGGGGAGAATTCCATGAAAACGGGGGAGAATGGGGAGAATTCCATGAAAACGGGGGAGAATGGGGAGAATTCCATGAAAACGGGGGAGAATGGGGAGAATTCCATGAAAACGGGGGAGAATGGGGAGAATTCCATGAAAACGGGGGAGAATGGGGAGAATTCCATGAAAACGGGGGAGAATGGGGAGAATTCCATGAAAACGGGGGAGAATGGGGAGAATTCCATGAAAACGGGGGAGAATGGGGAGAATTCCATGAAAACGGGGGAGAATGGGGAGAATTCCATGAAAACGGGGGAGAATTCCATGAAAATGGGGGAGAATTCCATAAAAACGGGGGATAATGGGGCAGAATTCCATGAAAACAGGAGAATGGGGAGCATTCCATGAAAACGGGGGAGAATTCCATGAAAAGGGGGGAGAATGGGGAGAATTCCATGAAAATGGGGGAGAATTCCATGAAAAGGGGGGAGAATGGGGAGAATTCCATGAAAAGGGGGGAGAATGGGGAGAATTCCATGAAAACGGGGGAGAATTCCATGAAAACAGGATAATAAAGGAGTATTTCCTAAATACAGGAGATGATAAGGGAATAGTTCCTGAAAATATGGGATAATGAGAGAGTATTCCCTAAAAATGGGGGTCTGTTCCCTAAAAATGGGATAATAAGGGAATATTCCCTAAAACCAAGGGATTATAAGAGAATATTCCCTAAAAATGGGGGATAGTAAGGGAATACTCCCCAAAAGCAGGGAATTCTGAGGGAATATTCCCCCAAGCAGGGAAGGGGCGGGCAGCAGCAGCAGCAGCGAGGTTTGGAGAGGTGAAGGGGAATTGGGATTTTCCATCCCTCGGGGCGTTGGTGTTGTTGTTGTTTTTTTAGGGATGAATCCTCCCGGGACTTTTTTGGATCGAAATTCCGGCAGGGAGAGGCCCCTCAGGGCATCCCAGCCCGTCCCTAAATCCCTCGCTGCTCTGTCCTTGCCGGCGGCGCCGCGTTTACAAAAACAGGGATGGATGGAATTTTTTTCCCCTGGAAATTCACGATAAGGGTGAATTTCCAGGGGAACCCAAACCAGTTCCATCCCTTTTTCCCTCCCACTGAGGCGAATCCTCAAGCTGGACGCATTCATGGCACCAAAAAAATTCCCATTTTTGCCTCATTTCCCCCCAGAGCTGGAAAACCCGGCCCAGATCTGATGGCTGAACTGAGTTCACCGCTGAAACAGGGGAAACCCCAACTTCCTTCCCCTTCTGGCCCCAAATCTCCAAAATCTCTAGTTTTTATTTCAGCTGAGCTGGGTGGGGCCGAGCAGAGAGCAGATCAGGGTGAGAAAATCCCTTTTGGGTTAAAAACGCCTCTTCCCAGCACTCTGCTCTCCTGACCTCCAACTCCACTGCCCGACTCCTCCCTAAAAACCCAAATCCTCCGCATTTCCCTCCCAGCCCGGCTGCTCCTTCGGGTGGGAAGGTCCGCGGTTCATTCCCGAGGGTGAGGATGCTCCTGGCGCGTCAGCGCTGAGCGTTCCCCTTCTCCCCGTCCCTCCCCAGGCTGTCGTGAGCCCGCCATGTCCGCCAAGGTGCCGATCTACCTGAAGAGAGGCAGCCGCAAGGGCAAGAAGGAGAAGCTGCGGGACATCCTGTCCTCGGACATGATCAGCCCTCCGCTGGGCGACTTCCGCCACACCATCCACGTGGGCAGCGGCGGCGAGAGCGACACGTTCGGGGACGTCTCCTTCCTGCAGGGCAAGTTCCACCTGCTGCCTCGTGGCGACGCCGGCGACCGCGGCGCCGAGGCGGCGCCGTTCGAGTTCTCGCGCGCGGCCACCATGTCGGGCGGCGAGGCGGCCGCGGCGCCGTCGCCGCTGCTGAAGGTCGCCGTGCCCCCGGCTGGCCGCCAACGGCGAGGCCGAGCCCTTCCTGTCGCACGCCGGGTCCCTGCTGTCCCTGCACGTGGACCTGGGGCCGTCCATCCTGGAGGACGTGCTGCAGGTCATGGACAGGCACCAGGCCGAGCGCGGCGCCGGCGCCCGGCCGGAGATCCTGACGTGAGGAAGGCGTTGGGAAATGGACGGTGAGGATGAGGATGAGGATTTTGGGCGGTTTTCGGGTGTGGCTCTCGGATTCCAGCTCGCGTTTCCTCGCGCCGGGTGAGGGTTTGGCCTCGGGGGAGAAGCGGAGTGACCCCACGAGCTCTCCCGGCCTCCTCAGTGCCCGAGCTGACCACGGGAAACCCCACGGGATGAATTCCCAAAGATTCCAGCCAGGAGGATTCGGGGGGACAGCGGGGGTTTGTTCTCCACGGCTCTGAACCTCCTGAACCGTCACGGCGCTGTCACCTCAACTTCTCCTCCATGAAATCCTTTGGAAATCCCACAGAGGGGGAAACTTCCACTGGGAAATCTCCACCGGGCTCTGTGTCCCTGTGGAGAAGCCAAAACTCCGCGTGGAGGAGCCGGGATCTCCCAACGGAGCTCTTGTTCTAGGAACTCAATCCAAGGAGGGGCCAAAAACCCCTCTGGGGCCGAACCGGAAATGGTCGAGGAGATGCAAAACCAACCAAAAATCCCAACGTGAGCTGCAGGTGGATCCTGGCACGGACGGATCCGTCGCGGACGGTTTGGGTGGAGTGGGAGCAGGGAATGCTGAGGGGAATTCCAGCTGGATTTTGGGGAATAGGGACAAGAACCCCTCTGGAAACGCTGCTGGTGGAGGAGCCAGGGTGGGACCAGCGGGGCCTCCTCGTCCAGGCTCCTGTCACCAATTCCACCCTTTCACCGATTTCTGGCAGTTTGAGCCCAGAGCTGGATCCCCCCAGGGCGGAGTCGCGGCCCCTCCTGACCCCGGTGCTGTTCCTCATTGCCTAACGAGTCTAATTTAGATTATCTGACTAATGACTCATTAGATTCTCGTTAACGAACCCTTGTCCTGCCTCTTCCTTCCCCTCCCCCTGTGCGTCAGTAAACCCGAACCACTTTTGGTGCAAACACCCAGAATTTGGGGATAAACCCATTTCCCAAGGTTTTCATCTGTAAAATAAGCAACAAACTGAGGCTAGTTAGGCTCGATCAGGTTTAATTTCTATTTGGTCCAACCTTTCCCTGCTCTAAACTCTTTTCTCCCCCCACACTCTGTCCACGTTTTATTTATTTTGGGATTTTTCCTCCCCAACCCAATTCCAGCCGTTTCAGAGCCTCATTTGTGATTAATTAACCCCAGGGACGTTTGTGATTAATTGACCCCAGAGATTGGGATGGGAATGTGGCTCCGTGTCCCCTCCTGTCCCACAAACACACCACAGCTGCTGCTCAGAGAAACAACGTGAAGGGAAACGGGCCCAGAACGGCTCATTTTGGGCGGGTTTCTGTGCTTTGGGGGCTTTCCAACATGGGCTGGGTTGGGACAACGTGGATGGACTTTTTTCCCTGGATTTCACCCCAATTTTCCTGGGTTCCACCCACCCTAATCAGTGATTTAAAGATGGAGCTGTTTGTGCCCCACCTCAGCCCAGGAATTGCGAAACCGTTGCTGTCGGAGCTGTTTCGAAATATCAAAATCAGCCAAAATCCCCTTTTTTTTTCCTTTTTGTTCCTTTTCTCCCTCATTTTTTTCCCTTCCACAACTCAGGGCTGAATTTTGGGGTGTTCCAGCTTTGATTTGGGACCTCGTCCACTCCTTTCTGTTCTCCTCCCACTCATCCCCCCGTGCTCCAGTCCTGGAAAAGCTCCTTCAATTTGCCAAATTTGGGGGATTTTTTAACCATTAAAAGGTGATTTTGCTTTTCTCACCTCTCTCCTCCTTCCTTTCTTCCCTAATATAAACGCCCTTGCTATAAACCCCTAAAATTATCCCCAAGATTATTGTTATTATCCCTGAAATTATCCCAAACATCACTTTATCCCTGAAATGTTTTTTTCCCCCAATCTCATCTCCTGCAAAAAACCCAAATTCCTTAATTATTAATTCATGAATAAATCATTTGGGATCCCTTTCCACAGCACTGGAGCCTCCTTCACTTCTGCCGTAATTAATCAGTCCCCAAATTAACGATTTATGCAAACCACTGTTGCCAAACTTGCTGATTTACTCCCAGTTCCAAGAATTTGAGTCATCCGAAGCCGCCGTGACTCAGCGCCCACTCCCCTCCCTTTTTTGGGGAGTTTATCCCGGAATCAATCAAGGATGGAATCGTTAATTAACCCCAGCAGGGGCACAGGCCTCCCTCCCAACTTCCTCGTTATCCCGGGATTTCCGGGCAGCGGATTAACGCCGCCCACGCCAGCGGTCAGTGCTTGACCCCCCGGCGTGGCCGGAGCCGGGAACGGAGCCGGGGATGAGCGCCAGCAACAGCCGGCCTGGGATTACCAGGAGGAGGAGGAGGAGGAGGAGGAGGAGGAGGGAGGAAGGTTTGCCCAGGGGGTGACCTTCGGGGAAAAAGGCGAATTCTCAACAAACAGGGAAAAAAACACAGGTGGGATGTGGAAGTAATGAGGAAAAAGAGAGAGGAACTCACCTGGAAGTGAGGAACTCATCTGGAAGTGAGGAATTCACCTGGAAGTGAGGAACTCACCTGGAAGCTGACACCAAACCACGCTCGCCATGGGGGTCTGTGGGTGACCTCTGTCCTGGGGGATGAATTTGGGGATACTTGGTTAATTCAGGTTTGATAAAAAGGGAAAAGAGCTCAAAAATGGGAATTTTTGGGGATGAAGACACATAAGGAATCTGGGGAGATTTGGGATCAGAGGGATCCATCCTCACTAATCCCTAATTTCACTCTCTCCTAGCCCTTGTTTATTCATTTCCCCAATTTATCCCTCATTTCCCTCCCAACCCTCACCCCTCCTTCCATTTTATCCCCCAAACCTCCTCCGTCCCTTCCCTTCCTCATTTCCCTTCCCATTCTCCATCTTTTCACCCATTTCCATGGAAAGGTTGAGGTTGAAAAAGATCATCGAATCCAACCTGGTCACCCCTGAACGGTGTTCCCATGTGCCACATCCAGGCTTTTTTTGGGATAATTCCAGGATACCAATTCCGCATCTCAGGGTGGGACAAACCCTTTCCAGGAGTTTTCCTCACTAAACCTCCCCAGATACAACTCGAGGCTGTTCCCTCTTGTTTTATCCATCGGGAGAAGGGGTCTCAGCCCCAGCCTCATTCCAGGGAATTGGAGGGAACAATGGGTCTCTAAAACCTCCTTTTTCCAGGATAAACCCCCTCAACCTCTGCCATCATTTCCCCCTGCTTTCTGTCCATTTCCCCCTCATTCTCCTGCCTTGTTCTCTCCCATTTTTTCCCTCATCCTCCCCCCATCTTGTCACTCATTCTCCCATCATTTTCCCCCAGTCTCCCCCCTCCATCTCCCCCTTTTCTCGCCCCATATCCCCCATTCTGCCTCCCTCCTTCATCCCCATGCCCTCCCTTTCTCCCCGTACCTTCTTCCGTCCCTTTCTCCCGGATTTTCCCCTTTTCTGTGCATTTTTCCCCTCAGATCCTTTTCCCGCCATTTTTCCCCTCAGACTTTCGCCCCCCCCCCACAACTCCCCCTTTTCCCGCCTTTTTCCCCGCGCACGCGCGCGGCGCACAGCGCCGCCCAGCGGCCGGGAGGACTCCACGCTCCCTTCCCCCGGTCCTCCCTCTCCTCCCTCTCCCTCCGCCTCCCCTTTCTCCACCCTTCCCTCTCCCCGCTCCTCCTCCTCCTCCCTCCATCCCTCTCCCTCTTCCTCCTCCTCCCTCTCCCCGCCCCTCCCGCCCCTCCCTCCGCGCACGCGCCGCGCGGCGCCCCGGCGGCGGAGCCAAGATGGCGGCGGTGGTTCAGAATGTGGTCAAGCTGTGAGTGCGGGTTCCCCCCCCCCCCCCCTCCCCCGGTCCCCCCCCCCGG